ATTAAAAACAGAATTAAAAAAGCATGGCATTTTTTTTTTTTTAAAGTGATGATTTGATACAAGCTTCAGTATGTTAAGTTTTGACGCATGCGTATTTTTTATCGACTAGTCGCTTTTGCCGAGGTATACAAGTTATTATTGATAGGAAAAAAACCAGCTAAATAAAAACAATATTCAGAGAATTCCTTACACCCAATGAACTAATACTGACAGGTATAGAACATCGAATTTTTTCCTTGTTTGATGTAAGATTGTCGAATTTTTCATGTATCACAATAAAATTTTTATTTCAGATGTGACATAACCAAACTAGTTGTAAATAGTAACGAATCTTTCGAATCTTTTAAAACAGATTGTTCAAATCTTTTAAAGCATAATTTCTTAGCCAAGTCACAAGCTTCTTATTTTAATAAGAAAAAAGAATCTGTACATAATGGTGAATTTGTAGTTTGCTTAGATTTTGCTGAAAACTATACGTGGTACGTACAAAATGCAATACAATCACGCCACTGGGCAAGCAACCAAGTAACTTTGCATCTGTGTGTGATATAATTTCGTGAAGATGATAAAGTGCAGCATACAAATCATGTTTCAATATCGGAAAAAAGTACACACGATGGTAGTTCAGTTCATTTATTTAATACAAAGTCAGCTGAATTTTTAAAAAAGGAGTATAGAGCAGGAAATAGTGAGAAACTATATTATTTCTCTGACGGAGCAGAATCATACTATAAAAATACGTACAATTTCATAAATCTGATTTGTCACCGTAGTGATTTTGGAGTCGATGCAGAATGAAACTTTTTTGCAACGTCACACGGTAAAGGTGCGTGCTATGGTATGGGCGGAAGCGTCAAAAGACATGCGTATCAAGCGAGCTTGCAACATGTCAATAACATACACATGATGAACGTGAGAAAATTATACGAATGGGCTGGCAATTTTTTCAAAAAAGTAAGCTTCAGCTTCTGATCACAGTCAGATCGTGATTTAAACGTAAGTCGATCAGCCCAACGTTTTGCAGATGATAAAACTGTCAAGAATACGCGACAGTTTCACAATTATTATCCTGTAGATTCAGATAATATACCTTGTAAAATATATTCCGAAGATGAAAAAGTTACAATTATTCGTGTAACTAAGAAGACCTGAATTTATTCCTAGTATTCGTAAAATCACTTAGGAGCTTGAGTGTATAGTGAATTTAAATCGAAAAACATTGATGTTGAGTTACAAAAGATATTAGAGAGTTAAATTTTTTTTTATATACATATAGCTAAAGGTCCAAGGAACATTTTGAGCTTAAAGTCAGGAAAGCTGAAGCATGAGAACATTGTTCAAAATTTAGTTGTTTATTAAATTTTTATAAATAAATAAATAATTAATGTGAAGACCTTCAGNAAAATATCAACTTTCAAGTAACTCTCATAAAATTTTTATAAAATTTCATTAAAAAGTATCCGAGTAATTGATTTTATAATTAAAAGTGATTAAAATACTGAAACATGCGTATAAACAATAAAAATTAAAATTTTGCATAATCCTTTCGAAGTATTTTTAGTATTGGTAAAGACATTTATTTTATCAACGTTTCATACAAGTCGATGACCAAGTGTTTTTTAGGGGTGTTTACTTCAAGTGTTTTGTCTTAATTTCGAAAACTGATTTAGTACCTCAAAGTATATCGTAAAAGTGTTGTCTGATTCGTTGCACAGCCTCCATTTTTGAGTGGCTGTGATTATATTACTGATAGTTATTTGTAATTTGTAATACTGAAAGTATTTTGTCATTAATTGGCTGAGAAATAAATTAAAAACAGTTAGGTTTTCGTATAAAAAATTCTATCATATCCGTCGTGTACAATTTTGAATAATAATCGACACGTACTTATTCTTTTTCTTTTTAAATAAAATTTAAAAAAGATATAGTTTCTAAAATTTATGGAATTATAAAAGTTACAGAAAACACTTTATATACGTAACGTTGTGAAGTACATATAATACATGAATGTTCTACAATTAAATACGAAAAAATTTAGCCTAGAAACATAAAAAACGATTGAAACTTAAAGACACAGCATATTAAGAAAGTGTCTAACATACATATAACCTGAAATAATGTATGAAGAATTACATAATATTTGCTGAAAGTTGAGCCTTGTCTACATAATACTACAACCAAGTATTCTTAAATGTTTCAAGAAAAAATATTTATTTTTACTCAAGTTATAGTTAAAAATTAAAATGACTGTTTTTCGCATGTATTATTATGACTTTACATACACAAGGAGTATGTCTATAGCTACGAAAAGTACAGAATTTTCAAGGGGCTTGTATGTCTCGTAAATTTTTCAGTAAAAAAAAAAAAAAAACACGTGTCGATTATTTTCCAAAATCGTACAAGATAGACCAAATATAATATTTCATAAAAAAACCTAATTAGATAACGTAATGCTTGTATCCCCTGGATATTCATTTATTTGTATTGGAGAGAAAACGATAAAGTAAGTTATAATTTAGTCAACTGGATAAAAGTCTCGATAGTGGAAAAGTTAGAAAACAGCACTGATTTAAATAAAACTTTATTAATTGTATTCGTCAGTCTCCAAAGTATATTCTGCGAACTAAATCTCGTCATTCAGTTGCAAGGGGCCCCAGCTAGGTGAATATACAATTTAAAAACTATCTTAACCTATAAAGTAACTAACAAACTTTTTGACTCTTGTTTTGTCCTGAAATTGTCATTCTATCAGTACATTTGGTCACTGATTATGAGTCCAACGTAATATTACACGGATAATGTCTTGTATTTCAGAAATCGTGTCATAATGGCCAAAGTTTTAACTTTGAGTCACAAAAATGGCAAACTACGTATTTATTGTCCAAACTGGGCTTTAAGGAATACTTTTAATTACTTCTTGAAGTACAGTTAAGAAAATAAAAACTTAGTTTCCCGTTCTCATGCCAAAAGTAAGAATTCCAGGCAAAAATGGCATGGTTTTTAATATGCTTAATAAAATTCGTGTAATCTGATGTTAGATTCGTAACCAAGAATCTAAAATGTTCCTAAGAGTTTAGTTGTAATAATAAATGCTGAACTTTCTATTCTTGTGCGAAAAAGTTAGATTTCCAGGCAAAACGGCACGATTTTCAGAAAACGTGTCAGGAACCAAAGCCACTAACTAAGCAGAGTTTTGACAGTAAAAACTTAATTAGCCGTTGTCGTCTGAATAAGCTATAACATAATCTGTAAAATCTTCAGACGGACTGTTTTAGCGATAAGAAATACCTTCATGATGACATCCTTAGCAACAGATAAGAAATTTAAAAAAAAGTTCTAAAATCAATTCTTTGGTTAAGGTATTTGTTGGGGTGGATATGTCTTTAGCTGGAACTCCCTGCTGTTTCCTAAGAGAGCAAGCTGGTAATAAAGGTGAAAGCTGAGTGGTAATTCCATTCCAAAAAAAAAAATCAAGAGGATTTTATCATGAAGTTTTAAGGCTTACTCATTCTCATGAAATCGACTAGTAATAAACAAATATCTTAGCGTGAATGTTTTACTATGTTAACTATTCATTGGATTATAATTAAAGGAAAGATGATATAACTATGAAGATTACTTTTTTCTTTGGCTTACTTACAAAATTTTCAATTTTTAATAAAAAATGATATGTAAATAGTGACGCTACCTTTTATTTATTACGTAAGAAAAAAGAGTAAAATTCAATGAGCTTATCGATCGCTCGGGCTTGTTTATAACTAATTTAATTACAATTTAAGTATATTTTAAAGTGTTAAAGTACTAAGACATTCTTGCAATCTTCTTACATTCACTCTTTAGAAAATCAAAAAAAAAACAGTAAGTTGTTCTAATTCCTATGTTTTACGGTTTTTTCTTATTTGACGATATTCTGCCATCTACTCCACTAGCTATCAAAGAAATTTGTATTAACTTACTTCACAATAATATTTATAAGCAAAACTTCTTTATTAGTAATGAGTCTATATTCTGTCTCTTTTATATTTAAGATCTCTTNGCTGGATCGACAATTTAAGGAAAGACTAGGTGGGTCAGGAAGTGAAAGTATATTCAATTGATATATTCCTGGTAAGGCTTGCTGGTCTAGGCTAGGTGTTCATTTTGACAAGTGCTTACTTCAAATGGCTGAAATTTTTCACAATAATATTTATAAGCAAAACTTCTTTATTAGTAATGAGTCTATATTCTGTCTCTTTTATATTTAAGATCTCTTAAGGACTTTTATGTACGCAAAAATTACGTGTACAGACTACCAACTGTATGTATTTAAATGTGGACAGACACAACAATCATTAAAATCGTAATAACGTCAAGCAAAGAAAAACAAAACGTTATTCAGCAAAAGCACTTGCTCTCACTTAAAGTCTGATACAGAAGCTCTCTTTCGTTCATCCAAATTTAAACAGACACAGTTGATTGTCTCCACGTCAGGTATTCGCGTGAATACAAGCCTTGAAGAGGTCTCAAAAATGAGAGACAAAATATAGACCAAATATTAATAAAGAAATCTTTCTCATTAATTTTGTTGGAGAGTCGTTGTTAAAAGTTCCTTCTAGAAAACATTTTTTTATCATTTAATCCATGACTTAACGAAGAACAATAAAATGGAGTATGTAAAAAAATTTTCTGATTAGTAAATGTGTATATAATAAAGATTCTATGTTTTATTTTTCAAAATCGTAGAGAAGTTTCTATAACCTACATTTCTGCTAATACACTACAACTCACTAATTGAGTATGACTAAGTAACAATATATTTGAAAATGTTATATTGAAAATGTTGTAAAGTAGAGAGTAAGAAAAATTGTAGAGAAAGTGCTACATACAGACAAATGACGTAAAAAGTTTAGAAGAAGACTGCTTTTTATTGAGCAATATGATTTATGAATTTGTTTAGAATCATATATTTATACCTAAATGGCATGTATCAAAGAAGAATTTATTAATATTTATCTTTACAGGTCGAATACATCATTGAATTTGAGCCAGGCTTAAAAAATTTTAGAAATCACTTGCTTGAACTGAAAAATGCTCAATCGCGAGTGTACTTACTATACGCATCGTAAGTATTGAAAAAAGTTGTTTATTAGAAATAAATGACTTTTAATTGCTACACGTATTTGAATTGGAGTTTTCATAGATTGTTTGTAACATACTTTTACTATTTAATAAGTGGCACCGTAATCTTAAAAATTATTATTCACAAGTAGATATATGAAATTTATGATTTTATATTATTCGTGAAGTAATTTGGACCATATTCAACTTAATGAATATCAAGAATAGTGTTCCTTTACTTATACTACAAATCATAGTGTGTTATGTAAACAAATTTTTTGCTGTAATTTCATCTACACATTAGCATGTAAGTAATTTTTATTCATTTATTGCACGGTAAAAATTGTTTGTTATAACATCCTATAGGTGTGTAAAGTATAAATTACTCACTACAACTAAGTGCGAAAAAAAAATTTTCATGAACTCATCCCTAACGACAGGTATTAGACCATTTTAAATTCATTCTATAATAACCATGATACCTGTTTTATAGAATATTCGATAAAAACGTATGAAATTAGTTTCGATTACCAACAACCTGTGGGCCAAGTATGTAAAAATGAGTATGGTGCCCTTATGAAGGTGTACACAGACATTTTTATTTTAAGATGTTGTTAACAAACCCTTAACTGTCGTGATAAGAGTTAGTCATTGAAATGCAACTATAAGGAAAAAGATTTTCCTTATATGATGTGATATCTATGTATTACATAATTTATTTCTTAGTTTTTAACTTCTATGTGTAAGAACTTGCTGTGTGTACATTTTAATTTATCTCTCTTTTTATTTTTATCATAGTATTACAGTACTAAAAATGCATTATGCAGAGAGATGGAGAGAAAGAAAGGAAGAGAGAGGGAGAGAGCAAGAGATAAAGAAAAAATTAGAACTTAAATTAGACCATAGTTATTTAGTTGGTACTTAGAGCTCAGATTTATAGTATAGTACATAAGAAAGTAAATATTCCATATATTAATACGAAGATAATGGTAGAACGAGCACCAGCAATAAAATGAACAAGAAATGTATAAGTATATGGTACTAAAATCAGAAAAAGGATAACAGTAGTTATAATAATAAAAGATACAAATACAAAAATGCATGAATGGAAGAACACTTTACCAAATAAAAAATGTTAAGTATAAAACAAAAAGAACATTGAAAAATACGTAATAGTGTTAATTACGATGAATAGTAAGCAGAGATATAGATAGAAAAGAGAGAAAAACAGAGATATTCTTTCTATTTTCAGAAATATCTTATAAAAAATGGAAAAAAACATGAGTCTCAAACATTTATTTTCTGTATAAAGCAGTGTTACAGCAAATGTTCTTCTAGATACGACCATATTTAATAAATAAGAAATTATTTTTAAGCAGACTTTGATTACGTCCTAGTTCTGTGATGCAACCTTTACGCATTAATATTCTAATTTGTGATGTAACATGTAGTGAATAAGTGTATTGGAATAAAGCAGAAACGATAAAACTAATGACGAGAAAAACATTGCTGATTCTTTATCATACGATGAAGTATTGTATGGTGACAGCTTTTCTACAATAGTGTTGAATGTATATTTAATTATAATTTTGACTAATTTATTTTGCAAAATAAAAAAGCTAACTAATATAGTTTTAACGAAAATTTAGTTTACAGAATTACAAATATTACAAGAACCTGGACAATTAAGACTTACATAATGCTGAAAACATAGAGTAACAAGTACTAATAAAAGTAGATCAATTTTAAATACTAGTTTACTGGTCAGCTTTTTCCAAAAGAAAAAAAGGGTACATAGGGTATGCTTCTGTTTAAATACTAAGCTGGATCGACAATTTAAGGAAAGACTAGGTGGGTCAGGAAGTGAAAGTATATTCAATTGATATATTCCTGGTAAGGCTTGCTGGTCTAGGCTAGGTGTTCATTTTGACAAGTGCTTACTTCAAATGGCTGAAATTTTTAGAAATCAGAAAACTAATCGATCAAGCATTGGTACCACTTTCTAAATACACTTTGAGGAAAAGGGCATACTGTATGTGAAGCAAATTTGTAAAATACTTCTGATAGTATGTCTGTTAATGCCATTGGTTCTCTTGTCCTTGCACTATCTAATGTTTTTTTTTTTTAATTTTACATTTTTGTATGTAGCAGCAATGTGGTTGCGCGTTCCCTTCTAATAATATTTTTCTTTTATTCGTTGATAAGTTTCTACTACCCATCCATGACCTTTAAATGAACTTGTGAAATATATACTCATTTTTTTTTGTCTTTTAAAACTATATAATAAGATGTGCCAGAAGTAATTGCCACTTTTAGAGAAAGCTAACGCAATTTCCTAGAAATTCGTGCAGTGTTAACTTCTTTTACTGAGATCAGGTTTGAAAAATTTTTGAAGCACGTTTGTAAAGTGTTAGGTTCTATTTTGTTATCAAAGTTTCAATTGATGTCTAGTAAAAATGTGTACATTTTTTTGTAGTTATAATGACTCCTAATTTTGGTGGTATACGTAATACATCTTCTTTTGTTGTAATCCCTGTATCTTAGAGTAACTAACTTTTTTAGCAGTCTTATTTCTACATTTCAAAAAATGAAACATATGTAATTATCCTGCAAATAAGCTAAATTTTCATATGTACTAAAATGTGTTATTTTATTTTTTTGTTAATCACATAAAACGAATTACTAAAAAGGCTTATTTTCCTTGTTATCTTTTCACTACAAGCTGAGTTTCAATTTTGCACTATAAGTTTTAATGATACTGTGTGGCTTGTTTGCAGTAAAATATTCTGATTGAAAATTTTTAAAAAATTAAATCTAATTCTATTCTTTTATGGTTTACGAATAATAATTTGTCTTCTCCATCTTAACTACTATTTTGTTCAATAGATGATAAAGTTTTTTTGTGCAGCACATCGCTTAGGATTCGTTTNGACCACTCGATCTTAAGATAAAGTGCTACATCTCTAACTCTAGTCCTACCCTATTACTTATCTATTATACATTTTAAACTAAAAATCTTTCTAAAAATATATACATACACGCATCGTACGTCAGTATTTATCTATGTATGTAGATGAACATGTAGATGTCTACATGTATTACCTTGGAAAGGTAACACTTATTTGTCATACCTCACAGATATGAGCGTGTGGTTGGGACTCTTATCCATACATACAAAACAACACTCTCTCCTACAGGCTAACCAGAGAGAAGAAAGCTGTGTACAGCCCCTAGCGCTTTGTGTAGAGTCATAACTGTTCACGCACGCTCACGCATGTGGGCAGGGAGGGGGACGTGTGCTGGATTCGGCGTGTGCTCGTATCGGCCTAGTTTCTCTACTTTTTCATTTTATAGAAATGTCACACTTATTTTTATAGTGAAAATCGCTGGAGTGCGAAAAACTTTGTCAATTAAAATTACAAAGCATTGAAAGTAAAAAAATGTAGATAGCGCAATTAAGATGGAAGAGGTTAATACATTATACCTTGACTGATTACACATAATATTTACCCTTCGAGTAATAACATTGATATCTATGATATCGGCGTTTGACCTAAGACATGCCTCAACAGAGCAGTGGAAAAGGGTTTCCGCCGAGGCTTTAGTGGCGAAGTTGGTTAAAGCGCCTTTACAGCAAGAAGGAGGCCCAGGTTAGACTCCTGGCCAAAGCGGATACCTTTTTTCACTGCATTGTAATTTTAATCGACAAAGTTCTTCTAACTCAAGTGATTTTCACTACAAAAATAAGCGCGACGTTTCTATAAAGTAAAGAAATACAGATAGCGCAATTTAGATGGAGGAGGTCAATATATAATAATTTGACAAATGACACATAGTACTTACCCATTGAGTAATAACATTAATATCTCTTTTTTAAGCTCTTGATTAATGCCATTTACGGTGAGACAATCGATAATAAACGGAAAAAAATTAACGTCAAGCTTGTCAATAAATTTCAATGACGGTATAGTTCTAAGACTTTTATGGCTAAGCCCAATCTTTATAGTTACACAATATTAGCTGAGAACTTTGTGGCCGTACAACTTACACGCACATATACTGTAACAAGAAACCTTTTTAAGTTGGACTGAGTGTACTAAATATAATGAAAACTCTAAAATGCTATCTTCATTATTGATATATGAAGAAATTTTTTGCAGGTATGGGCAAGTCATTGTATCCAGATACTGATAGTTCAGTCCACGAAATTCAAAGTATAGACATCTACCAAATCCTGGGTAAAAATATCGATAAGTTCAATACATTGTATTGTATAGACGATAATACATTTGACTCATCTCGAAGAAGCGAGAAAGTGATTTGACTCATAAAATATGAGTACTGTGGTAACATTATGCTGAAATTTAGCTGTTTTTGGAATAAAATGTATTGTACCCATATAAGAGACGACAAGCCAATCAAAAAAGTAAAAGGTGTAAAAACATCTGTTGTTTGAACAAAAATCAGTTTTGACGACTATAAAGACTGTTTGTTGATTAAATCTGAAATTTATTGCATGCAAAATTTCACATGCTCTAAGAATTAGGATATCTACATTCAAAAAAGCAGATAATAGCTTTTAGTTTAAAGGATGATTAGTGCTATCTGCTTCCAAACTCTACAGAAACGCCTTGAGGGTATATTTCTATTTCAGATACATAGGATAAATCAATGCTACAAATAGTACTGAGAGAGAAATTAGAAGAAAAAGACGAAAAACAAAATCGTTAATGGAGGTTGAAGTAGAGGAAGCCTCTGTAGAGGATGTACTTCTATTTTAGAAAGTGTCTTAACCTTCAGAGCCCATTCAAACGCTTGGCAGAGGCTTTAACTTTTCCTTTTTTACTAGAGATTATATGTAGTTGTGAGCCAGTTATAACTTTTATTTTGACATACTATGTGCTAAATAGATATACTAATTAACGTTTACAGAAAATAGACTTTGCTGCAATAAACTGCATTGCTTACAACAGCTACCTTCAAACAAGGAAGTTCTCGAAGTTA